CAACAACGTTGCAAAAGATTCGATCTTCCTCGAAGTCGAAAACTCAACCTCTTGTTTCACGAACTTCCTCTTCTGGACAACGTGCAACGTGTTGTCTTTGTTGACAAACACGCGCAGGTTCGTGGATCATCATCACCCTGCCCCAAGTGGCATCACCCTGCCATCAGATTTCGAGTTACTGATTGTTCTGCAATCCTGAGACATAAGGCTTTCTTCTTCCCCTTCTTTCCTCACGATCAACGGTCCCTCACCACCTTTTCACAATGGCAGAAACAGCCGGCACGGCCGGATCGGCCGCAACACTAGACCAGTCCCTTGGCGCCTTCCCATTTACGGTGCCTCAACTTACAGGGGCGGAGAACTATGATGAATGGAAGAATGCCATTCTGATGGTCGCTGGAGGCATGGCCCTCAAGCGTTACCTTGTCGAGACCATCCCTGCGGCATCACGCGATGAGAGAATCGACAACCGCGCTCAGACCCTTGTGTACACCAACATGACCACGATCGTGCAGCGTCAACTGAAGATGGGAGGATAGGACGTCGAGGTCGACTCAGCACACGATGTGTGGACGAAGGTTCGTACCGTTCTAGACCAGAACCCTGCTGACACTATCGACGACCTGATGTCCGAACTCTTCGAGATAAAGCGGGAGAAATTCATTTTTATCGCCTCGGAGAACTACAGAGCCTGGTGCATGAAGGTTGTCTCAGGGCTCGCCTGTTTCGGTATCGACTTGTAGCTACCATGAATGTGAATGGTCCACTAGCCGTGCGGAAGCTCTACAGCCCAGGATAGCTCCAGTGTAAGACTTTTAGATACCCCACAATACTGCAATGCAGCTTTTCTACGGAGTGTACTAACAAGCGGGGATGAAACCTTGACTGACCGAGACGTTGCTCAACATGCCATACATGCGGCCAGGTCTGAGTGAGACGCGTACAAAGACGTCTGGCTATCCAGACGGCATGATCTATTTTCATGCGGGAGGAGCAGCCCATGAAGTCTCCTTCCACTAAGCCAGACGGGACAATTAATCGCTATCCGGACGGCTACGAGGCCTGATCCATGGAGTCTGTGCTGTGGAGTCTGTGCTATGGAGTCTGTGCTGGGGAGTCTGTGTTCTTTGAATAGTGTGACGAGGCAACAGTGAGCACGAGGGTCGTCGGTGCATTTCGTCACAAGGCTCAGAGCCGAAACTCTCCCCTCACAGCTGACCCCGCGTCGCCAACGCTGGACATCACCCTCATGGACATGGCGCTCCGATCATTCCCAGCTAACGATGCAGAGGTTTCTCTCAAGCGCACTGGAAAATACGCGCTGGAAGACCAGGTGGTTGGTAACCGCGTCCAGGAATTTTGGCAAGCACGTTTCCCCACGAAATCGCCGCTCGGTTTAGAATTCATAGCCCAAAACAGCTTCATGAGAGAGGTTTGTTCTTCTTTATGTCTCGGAACAGGTTACTAAATCTACGTAGGACGTCCGTCAAATACTATTTTCGTTCCTCGGTCGACCTATACTAGGCCTCATTAAAGTATACAGCGATATCCTGCCCTCCGATTACGTATTCCGCGTCCATAATGGCTCTGAGGAACCGACGTTCTGCTTGCTCGTGCTGCTGTCGTGCCCGGACTCTGTCATTTGCTTCTACGAAGGTTCTACATCAAAGTATATGGGGGTCGACGTCGCGGTATCCAAAAAATGGGGTCCTCTCGCAACCCCGGAACGGGATATGAGCAGGGCTGGTTTCTCTAAGGAGACCATCGAATTACAAAACGGCGGACTGTAAGGCCTCTCACTACGGAAAACGATCAAAGCTAACCTCTACAGCGTTATCCAAGACAGCCGACTCCAATTTTCTATTATCAAAGGTTACGCTATCCTGGTTGGGTTTGGGACGGAGTCGGAGGTCGAACAATGGGGGACAATGGATATTCCATACACCGATTCACTCGTAGGAGGAGTTGGAGCGCCTCGATATATTTCACAGAGTATTCCTCGTCGCCCGAGGCAGGCCATACAGTGCCCCGATTAAACGACAACAACCTAGGATCATGGATCTTGGTACGGGAACCGGCATTTGGGCAATTAATGTAGCTGAAGAGTGCGTCAGACATGTCCAAACTTTGAATGTTGATACTAACACATATTTTACAGCTATCTCTTCAAAGCTCACATTATGGCAGTGGACCTGAATCTGGTTCAACCCGCATTGTTAGTCTTGAAATCTCAACTGAGACCGCCGACTAATACGTTTCAGAATACCTGCGGGGATTGTTTTGAAACAGTTCGATATCGAAGAATTAGCGTGGAGCCCGCTGCTAGCTGACTGCGACCTGATTCATATGCGTATGCAACTCGGTGGCATACAGTCAAATTTATGGCCGCAGATCTATCAAAGCGTTTTTAAGCAAGTACAGCACTACTGATATGGCTAGCACTAACGCATGAGTAGGCACTTGACACCAGGTCTCGGCCATATAGAGCAGGTTGAGGTTGACTGGACTCCTAGATGGGATGACGATGCTGCGAAGCCTGAAGACTCCTCATTCCAAACATGGTCAGAGCTTTTCCATACTAGTATGGACAAATGCAACCGCAGCGCGACAGTCACACCTGCGGCAACGCAATAGATGATCCGGGCCGCAGGGTTTGTCGACTTCGAGCAAGAAGTCATCAAAGCCTATGTGTGTCCTTGGTCTGGCGATCCACATGAACAAGAACTTGCACGCTGGTTCAATCTCGGTTTAAGTCGCAGCCTAGAATCTCTGATTCTGATGCCCTTGATAGAGAAGCACGGGTTGAATTACGAACAAGTTCGTGAGCTGTGCGCCAGTGCTCGACGTGAGATCAGTACTCTAAAATACCATACCTACTGCAACATGTTAGTTCCCTTTGCGCGATCGTTCTTCGATTTGTCAGTCAATGTTGCGGTGAGGACTAATTGCTCTGCAGATACGTGTGGACAGCGAGAAAGCCGGAGCACCGACTGACTGCTGCAGGGGCAGGCAAACCAGACCATCGGATTTATTATACTCGCTTACAATGAGGTATCAAATCCATCAAAACGCCTGACTCGGACGGGCCATTCAGTTCTAGCAAACGTCCTCTAGTTCACACAGCTCCTTCACCTGACCTTTGGTGACGTCCGCCAGCATCTAGCTCGACATTTGCTCAAGCTTGATTCGGCGGCGCTGGCTCGTGCCATAGTAGTTACCCTCGGGACTTGCCGGTCGTTGTGATGCCTTACCGCTCCTTGGACTAACGCGTGCCCGTCTCTCGGTATATGATGCTGGTATTGCAGTGGGTTTATCGGTACACCCTGGCCAGCCGCGGCGCTTTGCACAGCGGGCGTGCCGCCTTGCGAGCTATGATAGGAGGCGACACCAGTCATCATTTCTGCAATACTAGGTACGCAGTTCCCACTGGCACTTTGTAGGCGCCTGGGCCGGGGAAGGAGGAGCGAGTTTCTTTGTCACAGACGCAGGCGAGGTCGACCAGCCAAGGAGTGATGGGATGAGCTGCGACCAGAACTGGACAGAGCGCTGGACAGATCTCTCGCGACGATGAGCTCTAGGCCGCAGCAGAGTGGCGAGAGGGTACATCGCTTCGGCACTTCAAGATCTCGGAGCACACTATCTATTCCGTTCGACTCGCCCAGAGACGGCTCGACCAAAAAGCATTGAAACGCCGTTTCCGAGTACCATGGCGTCTCTTCAACTGGGGATCGCATGCGCAGTTTTGGAATTCATCTAATCAAACCCAGGCATAATTTTGCGCGCCTTAGTCGAGGAGATATGTACAATGGCGCGCAGCAGACTGCTATCGCAGGACCAGTGTGACGCCTGCGGTCATTTCCAATTATTGTCACTCTTAGCGAGGTCATGGAGGCAGCTCTAGCCTGTGAGACACAAGATAGAACAGCAGGTACGAAATGAAGGAAGTCTGAGTTGACTTTCGAGCTCGTGAGCACATTTATGGCTCCCGGTTCCGCCTACCTACTATTTGAATAAAAAGTCCCTAGCCGACGTTCCGAACAGCCAGGTTTCCAACTCCTTCAAAGCATTGACGTCACTTTGCTTCGACGCAATAGTGACCTTTGGATCGTGCCACCCACGGGTCCGCTTCGTCCCAGGCCCACCCTCGCTGTGTAAAGGTTCATCGAGCCGACGACAGCTATCAAAGTCAATAAGAACCATAGTCCCATCTTCATTGAACATGATGTTTCTTGGTGTAATATCATTATGAATAAGACCAAGGGAGTGGAGGTGGTTGATACCACTTTTTAACCCTTGGAGTCGCTGCCTCATATCGTTGGAAACAAATAGCCTGCCACTCTGGAGGAATTCTGCTTTATTGAGATGTTGAGGGTTGACTTTGTCGGCAAGCGTGTGTCTATACTTTTCGAAGCAGAGACCAGATACCCTTCCCCAAGTTTCTTGACAACCAAGGTAGAGGGCAATATTTGGATGTGGATGGCGTCTGAGAATTTCCCATGTCTCGATTTCGCGGCGGAGAAGATCTTCAAGGTTGGCCTCATTAGCGTAGGAAAGCAGGCTTGGTTTTTTCAAATAACAGTCCTGCCCTCGCGCTATGGTCCAGTAAGGCTGCATCCTCGGTCCTCTGTCTTCTGTAATGACCGGGCGCTTGTCGTCGAGGACAAGGGGAGGTCCCTCTCGGTTCTTCCATTTTGCGACAAACAGGCGACCTTCCGACCGTATAATACCCTGGACGTACTGGAACTTGAGTTTGCCATCGATCCACTTGAAAGACTCGTGTGACTGAATGATATCCATAATGACGTGAGAGGTTGAAGGAGGCAAGTGTCACAGGGAGAAGTTAAATTTCAAATGAGACATGTCTTTAGATTCAAAGCTGGTTTATACAGTGAGGTCCAAAACGAGTGTCCGCTTTCTTGTGGCACAATGAATGATAAGAACGGCTATTTCTGGACGTGGTGGGGACATACAGTGCGAGCAGGGACCGAGCTCACGAGTGCAAGGTAGCCGTCACATTTGCAAAGGCTGCCGCCCTGCGGTGCCTACTATGTGCACCCCACCATACATGCTTCACTTACCCCTCTAAGATTCATGTGATTCTAGTACATAGTTGTGATGCGCTGTGGAGAAGGTTGTTCAAGTGCCTTGTATTATTGCAAGAGATAGCCGTTGAGGCTCTATTTTATGCTTTCTTGATCGCATGAACCTATCCTCCTAGAGCATCTCTCCCTCTATTCCTATGCTCGGGGTCGTTTACCTCCGGTTTCTTTATTTCGGGTTCTCACCTTTCCGGTGTCACCTTTTTTGTCATCGCTAACGGCAGAATCTCAATCAAGCCTAGCGCCGCTGTAAGGTGGGCTCATTATCACAATAGTGTAACCAACCATGGCTGAGTATTGCACTCGTCAGGACTAATGGTGCCTCATTGGCAAAAGCTTGGGAACCGATGAATACTACAGTACGCGGTAGCCTAGACTATAACGGAAGCTATGAGCTACTTACTTAGAGGATAGACAAATACAAATCTCAGCAAATCCGT